ATAGCTTTTCTTGATGTTTTCAGGCTACAAGGTTGTTGCTCAGTAAGAAAGAGATGCTCTGAGGTGGCAGGCTGGCCACAACAGTCTAGACTGGCTCACTTCCCTGATTTCAGACTGCATATGGCTGGTCTAGCCAGGTCTCTCTCTCTCTCACTGATTAGTCTTAGGCAATGGCATGATTATGATGGCAACCCGCCAACGGTGTTACTTAGGGAGGTGAAAAAATGTGGCTGCTACTGGCAATCATGCTATTGCAATTGCAATCACAGCACAACTAGAAGTCACCACTGCCCCTGTGCTCCAGGGACCTGGCTGTAAGCCTACACTGCTGTTCCCAGGCTAGGAAGAGTGGTCTCATCTTGTGATAAGCTGCTAAGCACTGTCCCATGTTCAAGTGAGAAACTGAGGAAAAGGAAGACAGAAAGGGAAGAAGAGAGTTAGGAGTTGGGAAGGGGGCCAGAGAAAGGTCTAGAAGAAAGGGAATGGGAAAAATAAAGCAGGAGCTTGCTAGTTCAATGATCACCATGAATCAGCAAAGTCTCTTCACCAGTAGCTTGATCTAAATGCCCTGGTGGCTAAGGCTTACCAACAAAAGATATGGTCTCTGAAGAGCCACAAAGCTGGCTTTTTCCCAAGGAAACCACTTTTGTTTGTAATTCCCAAAGACTCTCCTTGAAAGCATCCAAAAGTGTGAAGTGCTAGATAGATCAGTTAGGCCTAACTTTCAGTACACCAAATTGCGATGAATTCATTCCTGGTCCTACAGTCCTCTTATATACTGGCCATGATCTCAACACAGTCCAGGTGCTATCTGCAAACCTTTCTTTGTTTAAGCCAGTTTCAATCTTTCTATCACCTTGACATACCCTTTCTATTCATAGTCATTGTTGCATGCCACTGAATCATATGATGCAATTGCATACTTCTCACTACTGAGTTCTGACTTAGGATAGACCACAAGCATTATGGCAGGACCTCCTCCAGATGTACTTCAACAGAAAAGAGTGAGCCCTTGAGTGCCTACCTGCAGGAGGGGCTTCTGGGCTGTGGATTTTGAACAGTTAGAAATACCTCCCTGCCATCCCTATGGGCAAGATTTAACATTCACCCCTGTCTTCAGTATTTCCCTATTGGATACCTATTGGTAGCTCATGCTGGTTACTTGCCATAACAGCCTGAGCCATTTAATGTTTCATTATAGGAAGCCTAGATACCTAATACAGTGTTATGGATGGCACTCTGGTGAAATGACTAAGACCTAGACATGGTGGTGCCTAACATTTAGACACATACGTCCTTTATTGGATATGGCTGTAAGAAATTTGCCCTAAATCACAACATGGTGTTTGTAGCAGATGCAGGACTGGATCCCAAGTCTCAACTGACTGCCTTAACTACACAACTGTACTTCCTGTAACCAAACTACCTGCCACTTCTAATGCTGTCATCTTCACAGTATTAGACATTAAATTGATCTGAAGTGTATTTTTATAAAGAAAGTGGGTGGGGCACTAAATAGAGAACCAAGGCGCTTATATGCATGAAGTGAACCAAATAAAGGTGAACTCTCTCCTCTTATTCAGACTTAGAGGGTGCATCTACATGTGAAATTAGTGCAAAGGAATAAGCTCTAGTGCAGTTCACACTGGAGTGTATTGC